ATAGATAGATAGATAGATAGATAGAAGTTTTGACTATTAATTCATGTGTTAAACTTTACAGGGTTATGAGGACTACAATAGAGCTGATATTAGATGCAGTTTGTGACGTATGTTTTATTGATGCAAAAACGAAACCCACCAGAGTGTGTTGAGGCTGAAACTGAACACTGATTCCTCGCACTGAGAAAAGACCCACAGATCTGATCTTGAGCTCTGCATTCAGGACATCGTGGAAAAAACGGACAGCCAAACTGCAAGCAAACCATCTAACAAAACACAAAGAGGGCAGATTTAATAGGTTTAAATTTTCAATATCTGTACATATTGAAGCATGATGGCTTCTTACCTAAAGATCAAAATGAATACAACTGCCAAGATGAGAAATACTGAGATGGCAATCAGCAGGGCAGACATTGTGCTGCAAAAGCTCCTTCACATTTAGCCTACAACCATGGCACCTGGAAGAAACCTGACTTCAGACCACCTGTCAAACAGTCACTCACATTAATTCCTGCAGAATTCTCTCAAAACATGTTAAGTATTAGTGAATACATTCAAGTGAATAGACAAAAAAGGAATGAGAATGCAAGTGCATTAACATTTTAAGAAGCCAAAGTAGTGCATTTACATTTCTGTAATCAATATGTCGTCTGAAATATTAGGTATTTAAAATGTGTTCGTTACAAACAATACTAACTGAATAGTGACACAGAAGCAGAATATGTTGCAATTATTATCATTTTACAAGTCAAATTACAGACTAAGAGCTTTGTGCGATAAATAATAGAACAATAATACTGCACAGATTTTTATTCTCGAAACAATCTAATCATTTGATCGTCAGTCTCGTTGTTGTGCCACTCTGGCACTGCAAACAGCTGTTGGGTGGAAACTTGCAATGTTGAGCAAAGCACCATTAGCCTGTTAGCTGCCAAAACACTACCGCGCACCTCCAAGCAAGAATTATTTAACAACCTAATTAAGGTGTTGACTGTAATTAGCAACTTCTAAGTCGGGTTACCCACCTGAAAGGGTTTGTAATGCAGACCAGTGGATCCTCAGGTGTACAGCGCCCCTCCGTCTCATGCTAAGCTAACTGCGCTAGCAGCGGGATCATGACAGCTCTGTCAATAAACGGACATGCTAATCATGTTTATCCGCTTCCTTAAACACACAACATTATAATTACATCCGCTGTTAAGCTGACAAACCACATTTCATTCTGATTTAGGATTTAAGTAACGTTAATGGGCTTTCCTCTGTTGTTTCAAGTGTGAAGGCAGAAATACTAACTTTTTGGAAATTGATGTG